CCTGGTCACACTTTCTGACTCTGTCAGACTCTGAACCTGTCCCGGAGCTCTGTTATAGCCTGGAAAAATTGACTTCTTTAGATTTCAGTTTTTCCCAGTGACACTTAGATTCAGGATTGTGCATCTGCCTGTTGCCTGAACTACAGAGGCAGATTTTTAACCCACTTTAAAACATCTTTTATCGTATATATAATTAGCTGCACAGTTAACAGCAGTTAGTGCCTTTGCTTTGCAGCAAGAAGGCCACTTGTTGAAATTACCCATATTAGCTTCACTCGCCTAAGCAGTGACAGCGCCTCCATGTTTGTTTGTTGCTGTAAAAGACTGTTGACCTGTTCAAGGTGTAGCTGCCTCCCAGTGACCCCAGGGCCATTCAAGGAAAAGCGGTTATAGACACTGGATTTATGGGTGTTGCTGTAATAAATAGAGTACAGCAAAAGGAAACCGAACTAAGTGAACTGTCTTTACAGCACCAGAGCATTTTACAGCAGAAAGCTGGGTTGTAGTCTGCTAGTTCTGATGTCAGAACAGATTTGCTGATGGCAGGACATCAAAAGGTTCCTGCAGATCACATCTAAACCTTGTTCTGACTTAATGTCCCCCTGACTGCTGCAAAAACCCGCCTTTAATGCAATGAAGCTGGTGTAAGTTTTTAGAATGAGTTTTTTAAATTTATGTATTAAATGAGAAATTTTGCGTATTTTGCACATTTTTTTCAATTATCCATGTTTTGTTTTTGCTTCCATTTTCACACCAGTTAGTGTGGAGTGAATGTTGTTCCATTATTGCTTCTAGCACATGCAGAACATGTGTTGAAAATAAAAGAAGAGAAAATAAGATGAGAAAAAAGTATTTTTAAAGGTTCTTAAAGTAACTTTGCTGTTTTTTTTCATTTGCATATATATTTATTTCAATTTCTTTTTTTAAACATCTATTATAGTTATTCCGTAAAAATAAAAAATATATATATATCTATATATTTGAATTGAGAACGCTTCCTGGAGAGGTGGCGAAACGTCTTCAAATCTTGGAAACCAAGTCCAGTGGATTTTTTTGAACTTTTACGGAATGACTATGACCTGGATGACTGAGAATCTTCATCAGCATATCTATTATAGTTACAGTTTTCTTTATTTCTCTTTTTCAGGTTAAATTAAGAATCACATTTCTTTCAAATTAAATTTTACAGATCACATTCTATTCAATAATCCAGCAAAAATACAAGTGCTTGCCCATGAGATGCACATTAACCATTAAACTTACGTCAATGCCAGAGATGGGAAGTAACGAAGTACAAATACTTCGTTACTGTACTCAAGTAGATTTTTCTGATATTTTTACTTTACT